AACCTTGCACGTTCTCAAGAGAACATGGCGTCGCCTCAAGAAGCCTCACTGCCCGCGTCCAACAGGAAGGGCTCACTGTCTTTTCCACTTCCTGCCTTCCTGGCGCAGCCGCATTCCCTCCAACCTCCACAGGCGGATCCGAGATCGCTGCAGAGGCGTAAAGAAGACCTGGGCAAGCTGTGAAGTGCCCTCGTCGATGTATTGCTTGGCCGTTTTGCTACATGACCAGCGCCCACGTGCCACTGTGGCATCCATGCTGAGGGAGGACTGGAAGAACCACGTGGCGCCCCCTCTGCGGAGGCTGTAGGGTGAGTAGTCATCCGGAGCAAAGCCCAGCTTTGTCAGCATCTTGGCAAACTGCACGCGAAACTGACGGGGCCCAGGAGGCCAGAGCAAATCCTTACGACGAGGTTCCAGAATGCTCCGAGCAAAGCTGACCAGCTGCCGATCCTGTACCAGGACCACCTGAGGGTTTCCTTGTGAGGTCTGCTCCCAGGGAGGATCACACTCATGCCATGGCCCCGGTCGTGAATCACCAGGTGTCCCACGGCTAACAGCAGGGCGAAGGTCGCCTGGCCTTGACTGAGAGCCAGGCCCATAAGGGCCTCCACTAACTCCCAATGAGCCGGAATGGCTCGCACCGGCCTGTAGCAGCGCTGCCAGTTGCGGTAGTATTGGCTTGCCCGTGGCAGCTCCAGTCTTAATTCTGGGTGAAATCTTTTGATGGCGGAAAGAAGGTGCCCTGAGTAACTCATGGGTTCACCCTCCTGATAGGAGAGGTCAATGAATTCGGCCAACTGGCGATCCAGGCGATGTGGCTTTGCTATATCAAGCCTTCTGCGCTTGACATGCTTCAAAAATCTATCCAGGGCTGTTCTGTAGGCTCGTAGGGTGCGTGGGTGCAGGCCTGCAAACTTCAGGCCTCGTTTACTTCCCTTCATGTGCTCGGCTTGGCTTGTCCGCAAAGTTCCATGCGCTGATGGTCCAAAGCGGAAAGATGTAGTCGTCCATCGCAAGAAGGTAGGCACTGCACCTTCGTGCCACCCTATTGAGCCTCCTGGAACTGCTGCGACCCTTTGCAAGGACGCCCCTGGTAACCATCGAATCCAGCACGTGGAAGAACCTCTGGTGTTGCTTCGTGCTAGTCCGCGCTCTGCGCTTGAGGAATACAGCCACTGCCAAGAGCTCAAGTTCATTGATATGAGCTTCTTGCCGCCATGCATAGGCCATAGAGGTGCGCCACTTCCACCTCATGGCCAGGTAGGGTAATTCATGCACCTGCCCGTCGGGCAGCTCGAGGGACAGTCGGACATCTGAACCTCGGTAAGTTGCTTGCCGGAGGAGGTAGCGCAGGTGCTCCTTCTCCTGCCCCTTCATCATTGACTGCTCCATTGATGCCAGCAGCCCAGCCACTGGCCCTGCCACTTCAGGATGCGCCAACCTGTCTGTGGACATGGCCAACTCCTCCAAGTAGTGCGCTTGCCGAGCCTCCAAGACAGCTGCATCGAAGTGTCCATCTGCCTCCAGCTGCTCCTTGACAGCCTGGGCGTAAGCTTTACACATCTCCCACGGGTATTCCGCCTCCTCCTCCGTGGGGTAACGCAGCGTGCCGTCTGGCATTTCTTCTACTTCATAGCTCCTCAAACCTTCATGGCCCGGGCAGTCTCGGGAAAGGTGCCACCTCAGCGTGGGGAGATCGCTGAGCACTGCGAACCACTTTTCCCGCTCTCCGCCGAAGCAGCAATGGGACCCCACTGAGTACTTCATTTCTGGCCATTCTTCCATGTCTTTGACGAGCTTAAACTCCCACATCCATGAGCGTCGTGGGTGCTCCACTGACCAGTAGCACTTCTTTCCTCTCCGGTCCTCCTTGCCTCTCTTGAGAGCCCTGAGCACCATTTGGTTAGACTGTCGGACTCTAGCTTTCATTTCGCTCGACAACCACGGATAGCCCATGACGTGGTTAGCGTCCCGGACCGGCTGCGGGCCAGCAATCGTGCGACCGTTGCGAAGCTTGATCGGCCGTCCTTGGGCTCTGCTGAAGAGCTTGCATTCAGGTGCCCAGTGTTCGACAGCCAGACATGGGTCGTTCATCAGGTCCCTCAGCGTTTCCTTTCCTTCATCAGTGAAGATGTCATCACCGAAGTACCAGTCAAAAGGGGGTTGGACCTCCACCTTGCCCAGCATGGCCATTGCATGGCTCAGCGGCGCTCTTCGTCCCGCAAACCTCTCCCCAAACTTGGGTACTCTCCATGAGCTCCTTGGGCACACTTCCGCTCCCTCCCGATGGGTCAGGACACAGGAGAGAGAGCAGAGAGTGGCCCCGCAGATAGCAGGGCATGGGTACTGGTCATGCTCTGGGACGTCGGCTCCGCATTGAGCACAGACCGTCGGATCACGTGCAATGGTGCACGGTGCATCACAGAACTCGACGGCCGTGGCAGCTCCACCCCCAGATGGCGAGGCATCCGTGATTGAAACCTCTTGGTCGATGCGGGCCCTGAGATTCGTATACATGAGCGGAGTCAGCGCCATAACCATGGCAACCTCATCCCAACTCTCAGGCCGAGGCGCAGCTCTGTCCTGGTTTGCAGCTCTGTCCTGTATCTCCGTGAAAAGCGATTCGAACACTGCAAAGAGGGGTCTTCTGAAACAGCAGCCGAATGTAGCCTTCCCCACAAAGTGACGAATCTCTGCTTCAGTCCACTTCTCCTTGGCCAACAAGGTGGAACCAAGGGTAAGGATGTTCAGCATCTTATCCAGTGCCAGCCCGTAACGGCCCAAATCTCCGTCCAGTTCGCCTCCTTGGAGGGCTCCATGCACTGTAGCCACAAGCCTTTTACCCTCGTTCAGTGGCAGTTTCAATTCCCTGCAGGCGGCCAAGAACCTTTCGTGTCTGTCCGACGGCACACCCTCCAGCACCTCTGCACAGTTCTTGTTGAACTTTCGGAGTTGGTCGTATGAGTCCAAGTAGATCACTGTCAGATCTCCTCCCTCTGGCAGGGGTTTTGTCTTAGCCACTTCTGATGCCTCTGGGATCTCCGCCACCTTGAACACTAATGTCCTGACAATGCTCTGGATGATCGCCACACTGCTGATCCAGCCCATAGGAAGCACGGCCATGGCGGGGTAGACAATCTTTCCTGCCTCCCCACCCAGGAGGGAGGCGTCAACAGCCTTTCCAAACGCCATGTACTTGTGCCAGCACTGGGGCAGCTGGAAGATGTTAAAGCAGCTGGTGAAGTCTTCCGAATCAATCAGCCACACCTCCTCCTCTTCTTGTTCCAGGAGGGTCAGCTGGCCCAGGTGCGGCAGCAGCTTGTCATCGCCATCAATCCGCTCTTGGTAAAAGTTGGCTGGGATCAGGTTGCTGATGAAGCGCTGCACCCTATGGACAACTCCATCCACCTTCTTTTCCTTCTTCACTGCTCCGGCACCATTAAGCACCGGGTGACCATCCTTATCCTTGAAGACCTCATCTTGCTCTACAGCCACCATGAGCCCTCTTTCGTAGGCAGCCCGAACCACTTTTGCCCACTCCTCATCCGAGGCTCTCACCTTCGAGTGTGGGGGCTTGACTGGCCAATCTTGCGCTGGTTTCAAGCAGGACTCCGGATCACACAGCTTGCGTCGGAGGGGCTCCGGGAGAAACTCCACAGCTTCCTGCACTGCTGCTTGGCCCACTTTTGGCCAGGCCGCAATCACTCTCTCGGCTACGATGTCTTCCATGGGCATCACCGGCTCGCCCTGGTAGTCAAACCGAGCTGCCGCCAACTTTTGGGCTGCATCCTCAAAGGCCTCACACTTCAACCCCGAAGCCTCGACATAGCACAGGGCTCTGCACAGGTGCTTCACAGTAAGTTTCTGAGCCCTTGTGAGCTCCTTGGGAAACTCCAGGTTCGTCCAGCCTCCGTGGGCTTGGGCCCTTGCCAAGAAGTTCAAGGCGTTCACCATGCAGGTCACTCCTCGGGCAATCCTGGGGTGTTTCTCCTTGAGGTACCGCTCGACCGCGACAGGACTGATGGGAAGCAGGTCGTCGCCCCGCAAATTCTTTGAGGAAGAACCCTCGGGAGGCACCCCTTTGGCAACAGAACTTTGCGCCAGGCGACAACATGGCGTGTCTTTTGCAAGCATCATGTCCCACAGACCCGCTAGGACGTCGACCGGTGACCTCCTTTCTCCCAGGAATGCCTTCCAGTCCAAACTCTCAGAGCCCTTCGGCTCCGGTGAAGCTTCTTTCTTCTCCTCTGCTACTAGTCCTTCTTGTCCTTGTCCTTTTCCTTTTCCCTTGTCCTTCCCTTTCTTTCCTCCTTTCTCCCTGTGACCTTTTCCGTCTTTGTCCCCTCTCGGAGGCTGCCACCCCTTCAGCTTGAGGTCGAGGAGATGCTCCCTGTTCATGAACACTTCCTCGTCCCGCTCCAGGAGAGCGCCCCCGTCGGGGCCCAGCAGCTCGAGGTACTGGGCTGCTGCCCAGTGACCGTCGTGGCAGCTCTTCTCTATTGCTTTCACTCTCTGGCCCACCAGATCTGCCGCATGGGCGGGCTGCTTCCTTGCTAGAAGGTCCAGGACTGTGCAAAGTGTCCTGAGCTCCCTGTGCGCCCGAAAGGTGGGCTTCTGCCCCAGCTGAGGTACGATCATGGTGTGGAAATAATGCACCGTGGGGAGTCATCTCGCCGACTTCGGTGGGGCTCGCCCCCACAGCTCCTAGGGCCCCTTCGGTCTGCATCTTCAGCAACAGCCTTGATGCGAGACGGCCCGGCGTCTTCTTCGAATACTGAATCAGCTTGAGCTGATTCGATGCCTTTGGAGCTGTGGGGGCTTCGCGAAAAGCTCCCTCTGACTCACTGCTGGACTCCCCCCGATACCTCACAATGTCTCCGCCTCCAAACGGACCACGGTCCTTCCGCGTGTTGGCCCCAGACGCAGCCTTCCCCTTGACTGGGTCGGCCCCGAAGAGCCCTTCTCCCGACTCCAGGTCTTCTTCACTGGAGGTATCAGACATCGTCTTCCTCTTGTCCTTGGTCTCCTTGGCTTCCTTCTTCTTGCCGGAGCCAGTGGTCTTCCTCTTCTTCTTTGCACCTCCTGAGGAGGGTGAAGGCTTCCGCTTCTTCTCCTTGGACTTCTTGCCGCCCGTCTTTTCCTCCGAGGCGTGGGCCTCCTTTTCTTCCTTGTCATGAGCCTTCTTTGGCTTCTTTTTCTTTAGCTTCTTCTTGGCGGCCTTCTTGAGGCTCTTCATTGCCAGAAGCTCCTTTTCCAACTTTCCAACTTCATGCTTGGCTTTGAGGAGCTTGGCCCGCAGACCTTTATCTCCGGAGCTGTCCTCACCAGACTCGCTCCCTTCCTCTTCACTGTCCTCACCACCTGGGTCCACCCAGGGTAAAGCGCCCGCTGCTTCTTCTTTCTCGGGGTCCATTTTGCGCCCTTTCAGGTACTTCAGAAAGGACCCTCCCGTTTCTTTCGCGAAGGCCCAAGACGGCACCTTTCTGTCAATCTCCTTCTGGGTAAGCGCTCTGAATCGCTCGAGGTGAATGGCGGCCCCTCGGCGACTCACTGGGCAATCGATGCTCGGGACCTCACAGCAGTGGTAGGCGCACTTCTTGGCGAGCCCTTTCCCGGCTCCCTCTGACATCCACCACCGCATATGCGGGTCACTAGCCGCCACGTAGCGCCCATGGATCCAATGCCCTTTGGCATCGGTGCTGAGGCTGTCCAACACCTCGAGGATCACCGTCCCTTGGGCTTTTCCGTCATCGTCGCGGATGGCTCCCTCGAGCAACATCCCCTGACGGAACTTGAAGCCATGCCAGGCCTCGCGGTTCACTCCCCCTGCCACCCACATTGGGGTGACAGGGGGGTAAGGTTGCCCTTGAACCAAAAGCTGGAGCGTGTCGACATATGTTCGTTGCTCCTCAAACATGGTTTTCGTCGACAGCACTCATTGCAATTCATATACTTGCTATATTATGTTTTTATTCGTCGGTGGGTTCATCCCCAAGTAAAGGTTGAAGGTCAAAAAATCACACACCACTTTCTGACGGAGGAATCCCCCGAAAGTACGCCACCTCTTTGGTGATCCGAAAACAGCTGCACAGCTCCGGTGGGGTGATCCACTGACTGGGTAGGAAGTAAGGATGGTTCGGTCATCTACTGTAGGTCATCTGTGAGGAGAGTACGATGAAACAAACTCTGAAAGGTTATAAAAACTAGCAAGCTAAGTCACACAGTATAGAACTGATTGCAGCAATGAGTCGGCGAAACACATGTTTGGAAAAGGGAAGCAAGGATATCTTTCCCAGGCGCGTTTGTCAGTTTGGTGCTTGGGGAATGTCCCAAACTAGCCACGACATGACAGTCACAAAGACAATGCTACGTAGACTTCTTCAACCTATCCCCAAACATAAGACAAAAATGGATTGAACTTGAAGCCACCCAAAAAAAAGAAAGTGCACCAAACACCAAAACGTCCCACGGGCCGACGGGTTCTTGGGCCGATGGTGTCACCATCCGCCTTGCGAAGGTGCTTGTCCTTCGCGTAGCCCTCCCCGTTCTGCAATCGACACTTTGGTCGAAAGCGGGCCACCACCTTGGTGGGAAGCACCACCTTTGGTCGAACGGGAGAAGCATGAGATGCGCCAATGGGTTGGAGAACCGGTGACTTGGAGGGGTTGGAACATGCTTGGAACATGTTCACATCATGTGAATCGGAGTTCAATTGAGAATCACACAGAGTTCTGCACTCCCGTTTAAGTGATGCACCATGATACACCTACTACCATGTGCCCCTAAAACCGCTGGCTCCGGAAAACTAGTGTGGGCAGTTGATGAATCTGTGGCGTATCATGAACATGTTTTTTGTGGTTGGAGCTTGCAAAGACCACCTCTCCAAAGACCAAACCTCCTTAAATCCTTCATTTACAAAGTCGGAGACTCTGTTCTCTCAATGAATCCCCCAGTGCTCATGTTCTTTCGGCCGTCCCTTCAGATCCGATCACGAACGATGACGAAGCCACGGCGAAAACAAACGCTTCGCCACCCTTGACCAGGACAGTCAGGATTTCCCATATAAAAGTGTGACAAACCCACCTTCCACAAAGACCAAAGTGACCATGTAGCAAGGCAAAATCTATGTCAAAAAAACAGAACTCACCGCGCTCCGAAAGAAAAACCCCTTTTGAAGACGAGAAACGACGAGTGTTTCGCGACTCAGTCTGACCACCACGTGACTCCGAGTGACTAAGGGATTCTGTACACGTCGTGGCCTTGATCTCTGAGTGACGGGAGTCGCCGTCGCGGTCTTCGGTGACCGGGAGACGGAACGTCCACTCGGACCTCAGAGGCCGCGCCGGCCGCGAAAGGACCGGTCAAAAGGGGTTAGACAGGACGACATCGGTCTCGGTCGCACGGTCTGATCGACGTTCCGTCTTCTCGTTTGATGTGCTGAGGTCTTACCTCAGGACAACCTTTAGCTGGATGGAAACTCCATGGATCCACATTCATCAATGAACGTCCCATTCGGCTCATTCTTCTGATCTGCCAGGAGTCTTTGGTCATTAGTTTCAGCTACCCCCTAAATCCCTAAACCTTCGCTGCAAGTGACAAAAACACATAGTGCATCAAACTATATCAAACTGCTATCCTCCTCTGATATCGATCTACCTCTTTGACTGACTGTAAAGACACAAATTAGAGCTCAATGCCTGCAATGCAAGGCAACCAATAACCAAAAACGCAACTATACATATTATATAACAGGATAACCACACCAAATCGCCAAATACGCAACAAAAGAATCGTGCAACCACAACAACAACAACAATCCCCCGCATACTACACGACCTTCTTACGGTGTTCTCTATAGACCACCCCGTGGTCCTATCTTGGGTCTCCTAAAGCCCCACCCTGAAGAGCTCCCAGCGGCTCTGCTCGTTCGCATGCGGTGAGCTGCTCAAAGAGTTCTCCTGCTATCCAGCCATCATGGATGAATTGATATTATGTCATGTCTGAGACCACGTGGAGGTGTGTGTGTGTTTTTAAACGCACCGAAACAACACGTGGCCTTTGCAAGAAGAAGGGTTGTCGTTTTGCTTGAGTGGGTGGTCAACCGGTGGTCTCCGGTCCACCGGAGGTCGGAGCGTGCCACTGCTGTCGGTGGAGCGGCGACCGGGCATGTTCAAACAAAAAAGCAACTCACTCAAGTAGAATGACAAATGAGATGGAATTCCATGCGACTATGTTATACTATAGTACAAAACTGGATTTATTGGCAAATATATGCAATTATATATATTATACATATATAGTTGACATGGAACTTGTTAGTTGAAATCGAACCTTTTTGCGGCGTCTGGTTCAAATGTGTGTGATTATGAATAAAGTACACAGGATTCTATAGAGGACAGGACTGCACATCGAAAGAAAGTACCCCCGCCCATCCCTCCATGGCCACCGAGTCGGCAATCCCCCCCGGTGGCCAAAGCATTGGATTTCGGAAACGGTTTTCACCGTGCACATCCGTGGTCACACACTCTGTGAACCTGCCGGGCCCTCGACGAAGCTTCTATTTCAGGCTCTTGGTCCACTGGTAGATAACCTACAAACCAATAGGTATGCAAGTCCATCAGAAGTCAACTCAAGCCAGCATCTGACAGCCGTAGACCATACATGGCCTCACCCTCGATTCTTGCTGCTATGCATTACCTTGTAAGGCTTCAAGGGGCTGCTCTGCAAGTAGAATTTGTCACACTTGCAGCACTTGCATGCTATCAGTGTAAAAATGCGGCCCATGGCCACTGGAGCTCATGTAGACGATAAACTAGAGAGAAATCACGTTGGACTGCTGATGCCTGGAACCATAGCAAATACAGGAGCTTCCAAAGCTGGCGCATCATAGTCCAAATATTCATCACAAACAAACTGGAAATCAGTTGGGATACGTTCAACACCTGGTTTTCCCCTTCCATTGGATATCCCATTCCCTGCAACAGTGGATGATGATGGTTAGTAAAGCCCTTTCTCTAAAGTAGTGATAATCTTTTATCGACTGTCAGTTACAGGCAATGGAACACACCCAACATATGGGACACCATCACGAAAACCCGTGTCTCTGTGTGTGTGTACGCAAGTGTAACCAAACAGGGAGGTCCCAACTAACCCCAACTCATGTTGAATCTTGATTATCTTGCTTGAACCTGCCCGGATTTGAATGTCTTGGAACACAGTAGAATTGAAACATGTTTGTTGATTGCAAGACAAGTGAGAAGAAAAGGAAAAGGATAAGGCCCCATAGGATGGAGGTAATTATGCCCGATACTGGTGAGCACACAAATAAGATAAACCCGTTCATACACCCCAATTTTGTGATGCGTGGTGGCTTGTGGCACTCATCACCTGCCGTTCCGTCAGGAATCTTCCGCGCCTTCAGCGCGCGCGGCGATGGAACACCTGAACGGAACAGGTGTGTCACTCTTGTGCGTCTCCTCACTTTTGAGGTGAAATTAGGATGCTGATGATCTAGATTCGAGCGGGGTGAGGCTAACAAGGAGTTGCCAGAAAAAGATGGAAACAACACATCAATGGAAACCATGGACTTAATAGAAGCCAGTGTAAACGTCGTCAACTAGCTAGCAGGGGATACAAAAACCTGGATCTACATGTTGAGTCTCTGTACCTGTTTAGTCTGGCAACTGCATCCTTTCTGCAGGATCCGGACCAAAAATACCTCAAAAAGTAAGTCCAACCGGGATGTCGCAAAGAAACCTGGAATTGAAATAAAAATCATCACTCAGAGTTCTTCCACTTGTTCCATCTCTTCACCATCCGATCTCCGATCTCGTCCCCGATATCTCCGCCGGGTCCTCGGCGGGGCGACCGCCGTCGCCGTTGCGGCAGCTCAGGAGGAGCACCTGAGCGGCGAAAAGAAACACCCGAAACGGACCATCCGGACTGGAATATTGATACACTGGGCTGGTTGAAAAGGGGTGAATGATGTGAATGTAGGCAACATGTAAAATATTGTAAAATAAATTGTAGTCATGTAAATATTGTAATGGGCAACATGTATAAGTATATTGTAAAATATTGTGCATTTGCCAGCCCCCTGGAGTGTCTGGGCAGATAGCTCATGCCCATGGGCTGGGCCGCCACATCCGATCTCAGGAGGCATCCTACGGAACCGAGAGTCGCCTCGCAAGGCCCTCGTCGTTGGGTCTATGGTTTTTCGATGTTTTTTTGGGTTTTGGGTCGACCTGCGGAACCACTGCGCATGGAAATATTGTTTTTACAGTATGTGTTCTTTGCCCAAACGCACAGGATCGCTGCAGTCAGAGTTTCTGGGAGTTTCGATCCCAAGTTTGTGGGACCCAAAGGGGTTGGACCCTTTTGACATGAACCCCGAAAGGAACTCCAGGTGGTAGCGTACTGGTGGGGTTGCTATACAAATTCATCCAGAATTCCCATGACCAGGGTCTGATACTTATCCTTGTCCCTGTCCCTCACTCGGCCAGAATGGCCGCACTGCCCGCTGTTCACTCAATGGGTCCGGTTTCATACTGACGAGGTTTGGCACAGGAAATCACTATGGCAGCAGGAATGTGCCCTCGGTTGCTAAGCGGTCTGGGCCAACGCTACCAATGTGGGTATGAATATGAATATGGTTTGGCTATGGTTTGGCTACGGTTTGCTTCCGAAAATCGGCTGTTGGGAACTCTTCCTTCAAAACGAAGACTCTTCCGTGATTCATGTCTCGATTCTGAGGGTCCGTAGGGGGGGATCCTTGGGGTGCCTGGTAGACTGATCTAAACTTGATAAACAGGAAAGCCCAAAGCCCCCTTCTCAAGTGTCCTCCTTTCCCATCATGATCGTCTCATCACCTACATCGTTCCTGAGCGTTCCCGGCGCGGCCGCTGGGTCAAGAGTGGACGCTGCTCCGGCAGGTCGAGCGGCTCCAGGCGCACCTCGCCGAAGCGATCGCTACTCTAGGTGGGGCGGTCGCTGCGCGCGAAGCGTCGCAGTTTGTGTATAAACAACGCGCGAAGAGGCCGAATTTTGGACCAGGTGGAGTGGAGTTTTGATGATGCCGGAAACGATTTCAGTCGAACGAAAGGAACACATGATGCAGAAAGATCTGAGATCCAAATTTTGATGTGGAAATCTCTGAGTTCGGAGGGATCCGACTAAGAGCCCATTTCACTAGGGAATGTACGCGGTCTCTCTGACAACAGGGCTGATCCTGTTAAAAAGCGGACGAAAAAAATCGGAAAAAAAACAACAACAACTAGGATCTGGCTGCCAGTTACAATGGGCCATGCTGGCCATGCTTCTGCCGAGCTCGGGCACCACAGCCCTCCCTTCGGCCGCTTCGCTTCGGGCACTCCCGAGTCCCCAGTGGATCCAGCCAAAGCACGAGTTCGCTGGTAACCGGTGGTTTCAGTTCGACTAAAACCATGGACCGAACGAACCCTGGTGCCTTCATGTAGTGGCTCAGATTTTGCTTGTCTGGACTGCGAAGAAAAATATATTCCCTTACCCAGACACCTACATTGACCCCCCAAACCACCCCGATGTAGGCATATATGGCATACATGGAGTCTCTGGGTTATAAGCAAAGGTAATTGACCTGACTGGTAGTAAACGTTGCAGACGTCTGAAAGTACTGCACTTGACAAGCTCCCAAGCAAACCAGATCAGCAAACCAAGAGCACTCACATGTCACAGACGTCCATTTGGAGTCCGGGATTTACTCCGGACCACTCAGCATCTCTTCAAACAACGAATCCAACAAATCCCAGGACTTTCAGGCGTTGATTTCCACTGCTAGGAGCACTGAAAAAGAACCACCCGCCCGTTCCACGGACACCTCCATGTTCACATGGACGAAGGACACCTCACCCTCTGCCGCTCGCCGACCGCCTTGACGTGTGACGTGTGACGCGGCCGGCCGGACGAGCCGTCCGTGGTCGGTAGACAGCTACGGACGGTCAGCTGTCGCTGTAGACACGGTCACGAGCCTAGACAGCTCTGGCCTCCATGACATCCAGTTTTGACACCGAATTCCATGTCTGTGACAAGACATCCAGTTTATAACAGAATCAAGGACTCCATGATTTGTGACGAACACGTCTGACCTGTTTTGCGGGGCGACTCTACACATCACCCAGCACCGCCTCTAGCTTGCAAGTCCACGTGTTTGCCGGAGAAGAGACCTTTAAAATCACTCTGAAAACTCGTAGGTTCTGTGTCTGATAACACGCTCCAAAGAACCAATGAACTCGGGTACAGTATCGATCCAGTTCTTGCCCAAGTGGCTCTTCTCAACACCACTCTCCTCTGAGTCCTCCTCATCTTCGTCTTCTTGCGGCACGATGCACCTCGTTATACCAAGGTCAAAGGTGGTCGAGATGCACACGTGGGCGGCCGAGGTGTCAACACATGGGTGATATGAGCTTGTTCACTCATCCAAAGGGGAAGAAGCAGAAGAAAGGTCAGCCATTCATGCAAACCGCAACCCTCCACACAAATATAACTGAAAAACCTGACACCGGCCATGGTGGGTGAATCTCTTCTTGAGTGCGTTAGCGTAAGAGGCTTTGGACACATCAGTGCGGGGTTCTTTACGTCGCTGGGCACCCAGGGGTCGCATGAGAGGCTTGGCACCAGTAGTTACTTCGGGACATCTTCACCCTTCACATGAACAAAGACCCAAGACAACACCCACCCACTCAGACGGTGTAATTCTCGTTTTTAACATTAGAAGTTGCATGAAGACCCTTCAAGTGGTCGACAGAGTAGACTTCATCCAAGTGGTGGACCCGCTCGATCTAGTTCTTGTGCGTGCATTGCCTTTCCCATCTCTTCTTCGTCAACCCAAAACCGGCCCACGCGCCACCGTGTGGGAACCACCAGGTCAGGCACATCACACACCCCAACAACTCGTTATCTTCGGTCGGACTGAAATGGCAAGGCGGGTCAACAAAAACAGACCATGCGGGCTTCGACAGGTGAAGGCGTTTTGCTTTCGACTGGTTTGTACTATTGCGAGAGTGGACGAACACTTCACGCGGAAGTGGATGGCAACCCCTGTGTCCTGTGTAAAGAAAAGTAGTCTTCCAAGGGTCATTTTCCACTTCCATGTTAGCGAGTCAGAGTGTGACAGTGTGACATGTGTAGACCCTGTGTAGACTGTTGATTAATAAAACATAACAAAACACCCCATCTCCAGAATGGTTTGACATCTCTGGGCCTGGGGTGTTGGTTCATGAACAGTACTACCTCCCAAGCCGACCGCTAAACCGTAAACCCTGGAAAATCACAGTTCACTGAACGTTCCACCCGTTCCATCTGTAGTGGAGAAACCAACTCCAACAAGAGTTTTGCAGGTTATCCACTTTTCCTGGGTGGGCCAGGCCAGTCTCCATCCGCCCATCTCCTCCAAGTGGCACTTCGCCGATGTCCTTCAACGTCACCCTGCGCATCGCCGGTCGCCGGCTGGCCGCGCGGCCATTGGGGCCTGACGCAGAAAAACTGTGAATGAGAGACAGATCTCAGATCCCTATTTCCATTGGTTTTCTACACCATCCTACATAACTTCACATAATCATACTCCAGTTTTTGCAAGATGTAATGATCCTCCAACATACGGAACACAAAGAAGGCAGCATATATAATATATTGATTATGTTATGTGTGTATTTCTTCTAAGCGAATATGCGAAAATCAAAAGTTCACCCCTTCTTCTGGTCTTAATCTGTAGAAAGCCAAACCTTCAGTGCTGTATTCATTCATATCCATTCATATTATCCAATCTTCACTGGAACTCGAACGGGAAAACCAACATCAAAACCAGAAAGCGGGAGGGATCGACACAAGTGGATCCAATACCACGTGGATGTGCTTTCGTCGAAATGAAACCACGTGGATGGGGCTCTGGATGGCGGCGGAAGACAAGGTACAATTGAACAGGTGAGGAAGAAAATGGTCCCGAAATTGGTTCCATATAGAAACGGAGTTTCAAGTACGTTATTAGTGGGGATCTACTGCTCTATCTATTTGGGGGTAAGTATATATAGCTGTAACTACAGTAGATATATATAGTGTACTCAAGTCCATTGGAGTCAATTGTGCTTTTGGGGGAGCTCCGGGGAGCTTCAGGTGGTCAACCTACATCACGGAAGAGTATACGTTGGGCACATCCTGTTACCAGTCACAGTGGATGATGGATGATGGATGATGGATGATGGATGATGATGATGATGATGATGATGATGATAAGGGCCATGAGCGGCTCAACCCCCATCGCCCACATTGCTGCGGGGGAAGTGCGGAATGACCCTCCTGCACATGGGCAACCCGAAGATGACCGCGGTGCTGATCGATGGTCTCGATTACAGGTCCTTTGCTCACCATCAACCAGGACCCCGAGATCAAGCTCTCTACCCCCAGGAGCTCAATGACTACCTCTTCAGGTTCTACCTCCTGTTCTTCGTGATTGTGGCTGCCATTCTCTTCAGGCTCCACCGGAAGAACCATCACTACACGAACAGCTCCTCAAGCACCTGGCAACGATCAAGCTCATTGAGCTCGCGGACACACGTGGCAGCCTTCAAACACGCTCACTGGGGTCCCAAGTCCCCGGCCAGGGTTGGAAGAGGCCTCTTCGTTCTGTGCATTGCAGGACTCTTCATGGCCTACTACACGTACAACATGAGCACATGGACTCCTCTGACTCCACCCTGGTGGCCCGAGGGTTCTGGGTCTGCCACGAGACCCAGTGGAGCCGACACTCTTCAGGCTCTTCAAACCCTTTCCAAGGCGAAGCCGAGTGGCCCAGGACCTCAATCAATACATCTGGATGGGACACAGCCTCACATTCAGAAGACATTCTCTTTACGAGCACAACAGTGGGCAAAAATCCATGGATCATGGTGCGGCCAGAGCAAACCTATCTCAGCCGCCATCCACAAACATGAAACGCCTGTTTACATGGCTGCTTCATTGGAGGCCCACCAAGCTCAGCGGGACACCATGACTGCTCGGCTCCATAAGGACCATGGCATCTCCTACCACCTGGGCATTGGTGCTGTCAGTGGGCACTACTGCACCGCCATCCAAGATGGAGGCACCTGGCGGGTCTTGGAGGACGGCCTGGAAACCGGGGAGGCCACCCCGGATTGCACTAGAGGAGGCCGGGCCTGTTCCCTTTTTTGGTCTCCACGGTGACTGGACTGGCTTTGGTTGTCTGGGCTGGATCCTGTCACCAACCTCCTGGTGGACACCTTCACCTTGTGCTTCAGGTTGGTAGACTTCTCATCATGCGATGCAGATGGTTGTGGAAGCCTCACTAATAGGTTTGGCAAATTGCCGGACTCTTGGCGGAGCAGGGTGCTTTGAGCTCCACTCTAACTCTACCGGAGACGGGCAGGTGGCACCTGGTGGGCCTATGACGGCGACTTTGGGAAGGTCAAGTTTTTGGCACTGCCTCTGGTGGTTCCTGGGAACGGCAGCCTGCTGGTTTGAGCTAGGCTGGTGAATACTTGCTCATGAATGGCAGGGGGTTGGTTCTTGTTTTCACCTCCGGTGGCTTCTTTGCTGTGGGACGAAACCAGCCCCTTGGCGGAACATTGGCAGTGAGCTTCATTTCTGAGCACACCCCCTCGTTGGTGTGCCTGCCTGCTGTTTTTTCAGCACTTGACTCCTTGAGGTCAGTGCTGATCGTGCTAGAGATTGCTTTAATGCATTTGGTGTTGCGGTCACTACAGGTGGAAGGGCTTTCACCCTGCTCGCCCTGCTGACCGCACCATCAACTGTTGAGGCCATAGGCCCTTCGGGGCGCCAGGTGGGACCAAACGGGTCCACGCAATCATCGACTGATGAGCGTATGCAAGAAAAGATGATGATGATGATGATGATGATGATGATGATGATGATGATGATGA